GAAAAAAGGAAAAGAGCTCGTTCAAAGCGTTTAAATCTCATTGGAGAGGAGGGGAATGGTGCGTTTTTATGGTCACCTTCTGCTATTATTAAAGCTAGAGCGTATCAAGAAGATAAAGCACTTAAAGAGGAGCAAGAGAAGGAAGCTAAGCTTCAGATAAAAGCTGAAAAGAAAGCTGAGAAGGAACGGAAGGAGATTGAGACGAAAGAGAGGGTATTGCAGAGGGAGGTTGATCGTCAGATTGCACGTGATGCGAAAGAGGAGGTTAAAAAGACTCTAAAATCAACAAAATCTCCAATCAAAAGAGATAAAAAGTTCCCCAAAGCTTCTTCTACTATAGATCTAACATCGACAAAGACTATAGAGCTTTCTGATGCTGTAGAGGCTAATAATTCGAAGGGGAAGGAGGAGGAGGTCATATTGCGATCTAGTAGAGGGCGAGCACTACGAGTTCCATCGAAATTCAAAATCTGAAGATTTTATTATGTTTTTAGATAGTATTGTATCTTATCATTTATCAATTAAATTGCTAGCTCTTTATCTTATAAATTGGAATTGTTATTAATTTTTAAAGTTATTCAAAAAGGGTGATCGAGATCGTGCATATAGCAGGGACGTGCACGTAGTAGGGAAATCGGTTATCGTATACGGAGGCCCTGCACTTCTAAACTTGGCTAAAGATTCATTCCTCTCTTCATCTGTTATGTTGTTCTTTTAGTTTGACAATTTGCTTTCACTTTTTTCACATCCCTGTGCGTAGAAAATAAACTTGCTTGATGGATTATTGCAGAAAATCTGCGGCAGTCAAAGTAATGAAATGTCAGGTAGGTAGGTGTTCATACCTAGGTACGGCGTAGGTGCTGTGCAGCTCAGCGCAGAAAGTGTTGATTGGTAGTTGGAGAATTGATGGTGTTCTTCGAATTTGAATAAGATTTCCATTGCATGAATTGAATTGCCTATACACTATCTGCATAACATCCTATCCTCTTTTGTGCTCCAACAGTTTCTTCATGGAACCCTGACTTACAGAGTGATACGATTCGTATTAGGAAGATGATGCTTCACTTAGTCTCTCTCCAAAGTTATGTGTTTGAGTGCTAGTTTGCCAGCATCTTGGAGCTTCAATAGTAGAGAAGCTGCGCCACTCACTTGGCTAGTATTATGACTCTTATCTCAGAACATTAACTAAAGACTCGGTGCCAGGAGAGAGACCGACTAGTATCTCGTGAAGAAGTATACATGTTGAGGAACCGAAAAGAGACTAGCTTAATTGCACCTCGAGTTCACGATACCCTATCCCTTTTCAATCTAGGCTCGTACCAATATCAGAATAGTCTTGAGAGTATTTAACTTTCTCTGGCATCATACTAGATGCTAGATGTGGTGCTGATCGCTGTGGAGATGTTATTCGGGTTGTCTATATACCCAAGGGGGATACACCCGGGTAGTCTTCACTATAAACACCCCTCACACCATTCTATTGCTCTAATGCTTGAAGTTTTTTTATTGAGAACTCATTATTTTATTATTTTATAGGGATCTGGCATCCTCCATTAAAAAAATGTGCCAGTGCCCGTTGTGATGGAGGCCACACTATCCATTCCGCAGTCGCCTCTTTCTTCCGAACTTGAACGCACGATGTGTGATCAATTTTTAAGGTAAAATGACGTAGTTAATAAACGCACTTTTGTCACAGCCTGAGAACGAGCGTAGTGTGCTTGACTGTGTTGTGATCCCTGAATATAGGGTGCTATAGATAGGAACGGATGTTGATCAACATTCTTCGCAAGTTCTCACGCAACGCACCGCACCGTGGTAATCTCAATTAGCACTGACATCTAAGAATAACTCTCAACGTCTTCTCTACTTTTTGCCAAATGATGCGGAATTTCGATTTTCTACTTTTGTGAAATTTCAAGTGATTCGGCAGTTGCGTTGAAACCCCCTTTCCGAACAGCTCCTCCCTCAACGAAATTGCCCAGGTCATATGCTTATTTGTTCGGCGAGAAACTCCCAGAAGATCCATTAGATTTGATAGTTTTAGATTCCAAAACGTTAGGTTCCTTACTAATCACCTACTAAAAAGAGTGCAGTTCATCACTTTCCCAAGTACGGCTGATACAACATTGGTTGATACATCAACGTTCCATTCAGACACTAGTATAGTAAAACATGCTGAAAGTATCAAGATAAAATAGTTTTAACTAGCGAACCAATGAAAAAAATTAATGAGATGGAGTACTAAAGAAGACAATGTATCTCTAAAAAGAATTATATTCGCCCTGGGACGCTAATATAGAGGTTCAATCGATCTGAAACATTTGAAAACTCAGTAATTTAGCCGGGGAAAGATTGGTGATCTTTCGTCCGATGATTCACCAGTGTGTTGGAGCGGGGTGAGAGAAGCGCCGCGATTATCTAGCTGCGCTGAATAGGATATAATGGCAGCGATTATGAGGTAGCGACGCCGAGATTTTCACAACTTTGGGTCCGTCAAAGTCTAGCGCCACAGTCTAATGTGATATCAAGAACAAACAAGTTATCATGCAGTAATTCCCATAGTCACGATCGTAGCCTACTTTAGAATTATAGGTAGAGGCTACCATCGAGTTTACAGACACATTATTCCAAGTTATTTGATATTGGGAAGTGGTTGAATGTTCTGAACTAAATTGATCGCTTGACTACAGTCGGGCCTATTGAAATTCCGGTTACGTACCATCGTGATATTCCCCAATTCAGAGACCGCCAAAAAAGCATGAGAATGAATGAGTGTTCTGGTGCGAACTTTCTGAAGAGGAGGGCTTTATATACGTCATAGTTTAACATGCAAAGACATTCAATGATCATCCGACAATGACCATTATGCCGTAGAGTTTACAAAAATTACCATGTCTCCTATCTCCTGCCCCCCGTAGTAGTCTTGACAGTCGCACTTGGAAGATGGTTCAGCTTTTCTATAGGAGTGCATCTCCGTGGGAGTTATGATACTATTGTGAATGAGAACTTTGAAAAGTGATGTTATCTTATGTGTGCTGCCTGAATACGCTGTAAATAATATGCGTATTCCGAATTTCAATGGTTCTATACTTGTAAGTATCTAAGATCAGCTATGTGGTAATGAAGAGAAGAGGTGTACCATAAAAAGGGACTCATGCAAACTTACATATGAAATGCTTGAAAATGCTCCCTTCCAAAACTTAAAGTCTTGAATATGAGTCTCTGTTCAATTCTATCTTGCCGCGTCAAGGCTATGCTTCTTTAGTGCTCCAGTACATTCGTTCTCATGTCTTTCCTAAATATCTGCCAGTCCTGCATTTGCTCATTGTTCAATACTCGCTTCAGCTTGCAAAGAAACATCCTTCATAAACATGTAGAATCTAATCTATGGGCTTTCGAATCCATAAGTAGGATTTGTCGACAACGCCTCGGTATTTCATGCCCTTGAATCCATTTACTTCGTTCTATCTGCCCATCCTTTCAAGACTATGTACTTTACCGCGTTTGTATTTACCTGGAGTGATCAATCATTCTAAGTCAAGTTGTTCTTTGAATTAACAATGAATGTTTCACTCTTGTCCAATCCACACTCGCCGGCCGTTTTATCATCACTGCACGGCCTCCATTTACTTCGTCTCGGATCGTTTTGCAGAGAGAATATGAATCCTGCGCAAGAAATGAGTACCCTTCTTTGCGATGAGCTGACTATGATGTGCAAAATGTAGAATCGCGATCATCTGTGCTAGGTCCAGTGGTAACAGATTCTATGGCACATCCTTTGGGATGCCTTGCTTTGTACCTGCGCAAATTGCTCGGTGTTTCTTGAGGCTTGAGAGATCATTCTCATATAGTTGCTTGGTAGGTTCGGCGCTCGTAGAGGTAGGTCGTAGGATCGTTCGGGCTATTGTGCTAAAGATACTGCATAGTTGCCTTTGCAAAAAGGTGTGCCATATGTCTATGAAGAAACCTCGTGGAGACTGATGCATTAGCGAATAGTATACAGATGAAAACAAAAGCCCTGACCATGCTAATTAGGACAATCTTGTGGGAATAATTTGCAGCCGTCTTCGAGATACAATGTGATAACCTATGACAGTCAAAGTTGAATCTGAAGATCTCCCGCAAAATTCTGATATGTAATTGAGTGTTTCCAATGTGTTGTGAATAGATATTGTCGATGATGCTTTGAAGTACTTCTCGGACCAGCCCCGATACGTTTGTGCGTGTCATCTCTAAGAGATTTAAACGCAATCCAAATTATATGAAAAGAGAATATAAAATCAAGGATGCAGTTGTTCCACAGAGTGTGATCTCGTCTTCTGTTGATGGCTGAGTTTCTTTGGAGCATCGATTCGTCCTGGTAGAATGCTATCATAATGTTCGGCATGGAACCCTGACATACACGTAGGTCTTTAATTGCCAGAAAAAGAGTCTAAAGACTCCCAGCCAAGACAAATAAGGTGGGTTGCACTTTCCTTTAAGTCTTGCACTAATTGAATCGTGATCATGTTGTTCGACTTCCAACCCCTTGATAAGATTGAGCTTGGTTTCTTTTGGATTGAGATCAGCCGATCACGTCTACAGCAATAGCCTCAGTTATATTTCTATTAAAGTAGACTTTCATATCCTCTCATTACTACTTATTCAGATAAGGGAAAGGGGTGTCTCAGAATTGATGTCTAATAATCTTGCCCACCAAATGCTCCATATCTGATTCGAGTACGAAACTATTCAGAAAAGAGAAAAATCAACCTCAGCTTATTTATTGTTCCAAAATTTAAATGTTCTATCTTTAACGATAAACATCATTGCAGACATTTAAACAGAAATGTATACTCGTCCGCACGTACACGTATGCCATCTCGCTTATCCCTGTGCCACGGATGGAGATGCATGTTGCTGTTGCCTAAATAAGAACCAACCCCCACCATCTTCATCCTCTCGAAATCATTCACGATTCTTTTCATCAATCAACGATCAACAAACACAGGTTTTTTATCATGGTATCCGATATGAGTTCTGATGGTTTCGAAATGATTGAATCCGAAGACGTTATCAAACAAATGCTTGTGGATGAAAAACCTGATCTCGAGAAGATCAGGAAATGGCTGAGCCCTACAGATTACCTAGCATCATCCAGCGAATTCAATCGCCATGCTTCATCTAAAGCCCGCAATACGGGGGAATGGATTCGAGAGACTTCACAATTTGAACAATGGCATTCATCTGCTGACCATGGATCTATATGGATCAAGGCAGTTCCGGGTGTGGGCAAGAGTGTCCTTGCAGCCTCCATGGTTCAATCGCTTTCGGCCAATGAGTCCGTTCCTGTTCTCTTCTTTTTCTTCAGGCAAATTATCGAAAAAAATCGCACTTCTCGTGGTCTTTTGCGAGATTGGATGTGCCAGCTTTTGCCCTTCAGCGAAGTCTTGCAGTTGAACCTGTTTGAGCATGTGAAAAATGGACAGAGCCTGGAAAGTATTACTACAGCACATTTGTGGAAACATCTTTTGACTGGCCTAAGAATGCTCAAACGAGTCTATTGTATCGCTGATGCATTAGATGAGATGAATATGGACGAGGAATTCCTCTCTCAGCTTAACGCCTTGGGATCATTTAGACCCGCTCAAGTCAAGGTTCTATTAACCAGTCGACCTAAACAATATCTCCAACGAGCGTCCAAAGATCCCCAAGTTATTCACGTCAGTCTCGAGGAGGAACTTGTGAAACGTGATATATCTGTTTTTGTTCGTCAGCGCGTAAAGCAATTTGCTGAGGACGGCATCAGTGAGAACATGCAAAGTTTCATCCAGAGCACTGTATGTGAGCGATCTGAAGGCCTATTCTTGTATGCTCGCCTTATGCTCGATCAAATCAGTCAATCTATCAAGAACAAAGAACAAAATGAGATTTTGATACGAGAAATGATAGTTAAATTGCCCGTTGGTCTTGAAGAGATGTATAACAGGGTACTTATCGATCATGCTTCACTTACAAACATCCATCAGGGTACACAAGTCATGATTTTACAACTAGTTACTCAGTCGGCACGACCCATGCGCCTAATAGAAATTGTCAAGGCTATTGAAGACAATCATCACCTTTCCAAAAGTGACAGAGACAGTAAAGACATTGTCAGGTTTGGCTGTGGTCCACTTCTCGAGATCATGGAAGATGGGGTTGTGCAAATTTTGCACCACTCTTTCACTGAATTCCTTTTGGACGCTGACCGCACTATACGTAAATTGTCAAACGTTCCTCAATTTCCTGTCATCGATCCGAGAATTGCCCACCGCGATATTGCGCTTTTATGTATCAGCGAACTTCAAGGGGAGGCATTTTCTTCCTACCCGATGCTAGATAATGTGAAATATGGTGGAGGTAACGTGGAACAATCCATGCGACAAAAGTTTGACTTTGCTCAATCGTTCGTACAGTATCCATTTGTTGAGTATGCTGCAAAGAACTGGACTTATCATGCCAAAGCGTACGACTATGAAGATGCAAGTTTCTATGAGACACTGGAAGAGTTCTGTAATTCTGATAGCCAGGCATTTAAAGCTTGGTTATGTTTGGCCGACAAGTTGAGAAACTCTCCCGATACGTTACGTTACCGGCTACAATTTGGTCATAATCAAGCTCCAGCATCAGAAATGACTTCCCATCTTCATATAGCTTCTAGTTTCGGGCTAGGCTGTTGGACACAGAGACTGTTGGAAAATGGCGCAGATGTTGAGATACGAGATAGTACTGGAAATACTCCTTTGTTTTGGGCGGCTAAAGGAGGTCATACCGAAGTTGTGAGTAGATTACTAGATACTGGCGCTAAGCCAAACATCGGCGGACATGATGGACTGAAGCCTTTCCATGTTGCAGCCTCAAATAACCATGCAGGAGTGGTTAAGCTTCTGCTTGGCGCTGGTATGTTAACTTTCCTGACCATGCTACCCAAAAAGATGGACTATACTTCAAAAGTGGAAGCATTTTATTTCTTGAACTCGTTTGTGATATCGAATCGCTCCTATATATTAAGTTGTGATCAAAAGTCCAGAGCTTTCTAAAGATTGCAAGCATCCCTATCTTGCCTCCTAGCCCTGATTATTGAGCACCTTGGGCTTGATGTTTTGTCTTTCTTCTTTTACTGACCTCCCACAGGTGTATCCCCCCTTACAACTCGGGCGGAAGATATATCAAGACGCTGTGGGAATGCACCACCAAATGCCAGTCAACACCCACTGATGATCGCCAGTAATGCCGGTCATGTTGAAACAATAATTGAGATGATTCCGTATTGCGAGACAAAAGAACTTGAAGAAGCTTTATTACGAGCAGCTCATCGTGGACATCATATTTTGGTTTCTACTCTCTTAGGAAAAACAGATGTTTCTCCCAACGCAAAAGCGCTCGTAGGGTATGGTGACATGGGGTTTATAAGAGGCCAGACTGCCCTAATGGTAGCGACGAGTTCCCTCGAAGCAAGATCTGTAAAGGCCATAATTGAGAAAGGAGGGATCGCAAGTCTAGGTAGCGATCACTTAACGGAGCTTGGCTCTGCTCGTCCCATTGTGCATAGTAGAAATCTACCAGAACCGGAAGATAGAACGCCACTCCATAGTCTTGCTATGACTGCGATCAACCAAAATAATCGAGCTGCTGCGAAGGGAATCTTAGATATGCTTTTTTTGGCAGGTGCTGATCTTGAAGCCCGGGATAGCAACGGCGACACTCCTCTGCTACTCACAGTTTCACCAAAAACTCATAGATATTTTCAAATTGCTCTGGAGCTTTTACTCTCCGCTGGTGCTGATCCGGTAGGTAGAAACAGTTTTTTGATAATTACCTCTTCATTACACCTTTCAGTTTCATTTTCTTTTATCCTTCCAAAATCTCTATTTACTTCTTTATATGCGATAAAACTTGATCTTCGCTGTAACTAATACCAGAAATTTATTTACTCCATCATAGTGCACCATGAACTCTGATGGCGAGTCTTTACTTCACCGAAATTGTGAAGAGCTATCATCGACTGACTTTGCCAAACAACTTTTGGTCTTCGGAGCAAACCCTAATCAAGCTCGAATATCGGATGGAGTAACTCCGCTACATTGGTAAGCACGAATCATTCTCTTTTTCTTACTTTTGATCTGGAACATAATTGTAGCTTGAATCTACTGTTCAGTCTTAACAGAATGAATTTTGTTCCATCATTTCGGCCTGGGATTTGTTATCCGATCAAATATTTTGGGTTTCGAACTTTGTTATACGAAAAAACTCATAATCAGGAGCTTTTTCATAGTTTATCCAGGACTAATGTAATGCTAGTGTGGTGGAAAACAGACATAAGCCAGCCGAGCTCATTGAATTGCTTGTCAACCATGGTGCTGATATCAATGTCCAAGATAACAATGGAGATACTACCCTGCATCGTGCTTGCAGATCTTCATTAATCCAATCAGGCGATCTGATCCCAGCTATTTTGAGCCTTTCACCTGATACCAATATCCAAAACAATCTTGACGAAACATGTTTGCACAATGTGTATCGGTTTATAGATTCAGGGCTGGTAAGCACTATAATCGACACTGGTATGAATCTAGAAAAACGTGACCACGAAGGGATGTCGGTCCTACTCAAAGCCATTGCTAAATATCAAGGTACAAATATGGAGATGGTAGAAGTGCTTTTGAGTCACCCGAAGAAGGCTTCTATCTCTGCTCGAACGTGGCAGGGCAAAACAGTGCTGCATCTGGCTTGTCATTCTCGTAACTCTGTTGAGCTTCTTAAGATACTCGTAAAACACGGAGCAGATCTCAATTGGACCGATAGCACGAATGGGAACACTTTGCTACATGAGGTAGCAGCACGTTTCGACGGAGATCTAAGGGACATCGCTTTGATTGAATAACTGCATGAGAATGGGGTCTCAGTCGATGCAAAAAACTATCGACAACAGACTGCGGCACATATTATGGGAACAGTCCATGGTAATCGCTACAATTCTCTGAGTAAAGACGGCAAACAAACTTTCGTATCAGTTGTTCGTCGGTTATGCCCTAAATTCGATGTAAACGCGAAGGATATAAATGGGTATACGCCTCTTCACTATGCATGCGCTACTTCCGAATATTCAGTCTTTGCTCTGATCACAGCTGGCGCCGATTTGAATTCCCAGTCTTTCAATCGGCGCACGCCGCTTCATTGCGCTGCTCGCGGACGGCAGTGTGGTGTTCTATCAATGTTGCTCAACCATGCTCAAAGAATTGGTTTTACCATAGATATCAACTCCCAAGACTCTGATGGCATGACACCTCTTCACTTTGCCTGTATATCAGGTAGACCTGAATCCGTTAGTATTTTGATCTCAGCTGGTGCTGACATTGAAAAGAAAACCAGCCGAGAAACGTCGGGGACAACTCCGCTAATGTCATGTGCCATGTTCCTCGAGGAAGATACGATATGGAAATTGCTACAAGATAGAAAGCTCATTGACTTCAGCGTTCAGGATCCTTTCAGAACTCTCTCAGGGTCTTCTGGGACCATGCGGCCTGAGACTGACCTGGATGAGGTAACACAACATATTACGTGCCGTATTGGTGTCATTGCGCACATGCTTATAAAAGCTGGAGCGAACACTGAAAATGCTTTTATTCCGGCACTCGAGGCAAAATGCGCGGAGCTGGTATATGCCATTAGGGGCGAAGATTCTACGAGAAGCAAAACTTTTGCCAAGAATCAACTCATAGCACAAATGACAAGTATTGAAAAAGCACTAGATGATTGCAGCCACGAAGATATCGACTTTATAAAATGCAAGGTTTGTGAATTAGATGAGGCAACTATGAAACAGCTGGTCTTGAGAGACATTGACTTTACACTAGCGAATAACCCTGCGTGGATGAGGGATCTGGGACCGCCAATCACTCAATTCGCGCACTATGGACTAACAGAATTCATGAGCAAGATAATTTCCAGTATACGGATACTTATTTCATTAACTATCACTTCCACTCCTCTTTATATATTTCGAAGATGGGAGCTTTCATCCTTGATTAGATTTTACCCCAATTCCTTTGTTTGGTTATCAGTCTGACATCGAGGAGTAATATGAAGCTCTCGGATACCGACCGCTTGGAATCGCATGGAAAAACAAGTGCCACCATCCATCCAAGCCTATTTTCTATATCCGTCTTCACTCATTTCCATGGACTGTTGTGTTCAAATCTCCTTGGTTCGATTTTCTTCTGGTCCTCTTTTCATACCTTACCTCGCAGACTATTGTTTCTATTTCCTTTACCAAATTTTACCCCGAGTCTACTTGTCACATTATCTAATAGGGAAAATGATCAGAACATGATGTTTCGAAGACTAATGACTTTCAAGGCAAAACTGTTCGATGACCCACAATATACCGGTAACATTGCCGATAGTTTTGTCACTGGTTGGGGCATTGTTCGACCACTATTACAAGTGGCCTGTGAGCGGCCGATCTGGAACATGGACATAGTCAAACTTCTAATTGAAGAAGGTCAAGTGGATGTAAACGCGCATTATGTGACAAAAAGGAGAAGTGATGTTACAATGACTGAAGAATTAATCCAAGGAACAACAGCACTTCATATCTTAGCGAAAGGGAAATCCTGGTGGCAAGTTGAGGCTATTCAATACTTGGGTGAACACGGTAAGCTTCCTTTTTGATTCATCTCAAAACCCTGGTATCATATCCGGAAGAAGGGGCCAGGGATGGAGAATCGGAGTCCGTGTCATACTCTTGGAATGAGCACTTTACTTCGATGCATGTTTTCACCTAATCAACTGAAAGTATGGAAAACTCTTGGTAGAAAATACTAAGATACATCTAGGTGCCGAATTAGATATCTTGGATGGGAAGGGTCGTACTCCTCTAGAAATTGCAAGTACATACATTGAAAACGGTTCAGCAGCAAGGAAAAATCTCTTCGGCACTCAATGTTGTGAGGCGCTCCTTAAACTAGGAGCTGACCCCAATAAAGTGAATCTGGAAGGCCTCACAGCTCTCAACAAGGCCGGTTCCGATGAAGAGACCATTAGAATGCTACTAAAATACGGGGCAGATGTTAATAGAGGAACAAAAAGCGTTCTCATATCAGCCATAGAATACGGAGATGTGAAGACTCTCCAGCTGTACCTCCAAAACGGAGTTGATCCTAGCGTGCCGGACAACTCAACAGATTCTAGTTACCGATCTCAGTGTGCGACAGTCAATGTAGCTAGGAAATATCTAATCGTAGTGGCAGCATTTCCAAAGGGTCCGAAAGCATATTCTGCTTCTATAGCTGCAGAGATGATACAACTTCTGCTGGATCATGGTGCTAGAGTTGATTTGGCTGTCGAAGAGGGGGAAAGCATTTTACACTATCTGTTCGCAAATGCCACGTCCGCAACCCTCCGTCCATCTTTTGAAGGGCCAGGAATAGATATGAATACTAGGGATAAACATGGTCGAACAGCTCTCTTATGTGCCATTTCTAACTCCACTAAGAGGGAAGGTCCATACCCACATGTTACACCTTCTAAACTCGAAAAGTCACAACCACCATACGTACCGCCCTATTTACACCTAGTAAACTCGGCAACCCATGGCCCCTCTCTCGACTACCTGGCAGTTGATAACGAAGGGCGTCACATAATCTTTTATTTACTCTCCAGATGGACCTCCGAAACGGCACCATTATTTCTTTCCATTCCAGGTGTCCGCTCTCTCTTTACCCAAAAAGATAATGCGGGTTATTCTCCCCTCCACTGTGTTTTATCATCTCATTCGATTCCTACACCTCCCACCAATATCGTCAACATCTTCGTAAACGACGGGGGTGCTGATCTTCTAGAGTCAGATCCAGAATTCAATACTGCGTTACATCATCTAACCCGCAGGCGTCCTTACAACCAGCCGGACGATTCTTTCCGAGTCATGGAACAATTTCTCTCTTCAAGTGGGTTTATCGACGCGTGGAATGATGCGGGCATGACACCTTTACTGGTATATCTAGCTGGTGGAGAGGACCAATCTCGTTTACCGTGGTATGAAGAGCATGGTGCGGACTTCAAGGCTACAAACAATGAAGGACAAGGAGCTCTACATTTTGTGGCGGCAAATAAACCTGTTACGCATGCACTTCCAGAGAAACGCGAAGAACTCAAAAAAGCAAGAGCAGATTTGTTTGAGGCGTTGGTAAAGAAGTATGGATGTGAGGTGCTAGATGAAGATTCGAAGGGGAGAACGGCGTTGGATATTGCAGCTGCAATGGGAAACGAGGAGATTTTGGAATTATTCCAGAGGAGGAAATAGGAGACTTGGATCTTATGATCTTGCTTTTCGTTTTGTCTAAATGTTAATCCCTCATTTGTCACTGTACCCCCTTTCTTATTCTTCGTCTAACATCCGCGTCAATTTGAACATGTTGATAAATACAATCAATTGAGCGTCTATTTATGAACAATGAGAACCTTGGAATAACAGCAAAGTTTGATATCAAGGCCGAGTATCATTTCAAAAACATGAAAAAAGCCAATTCTGCTCTCAAATATGATGATCAGATATTTTATGATCGAATGACAGGAGTCACTGGCATCCTGATTAGAAGCCATCTTGAAGATCTAATCTTACCTAGGTACCCAAGACAAAGTAAAATATCCCTCTCTATATATCTGCGTTATCAAAGAAGAAGACAACTCACCCATTGGACGTTATTTGCGCCGATCCCACTCACCCAGTGATCTACATTGTCCATCAAGTCAATCAGACAATTCCGTACGAAATACTCCGTACGTTTGTTGACAAAGTGTCGAGTTATCTCTCTCGAGTCCACAACCAAAAGAATTGATGCTGATCCACAACATACGTACTCCGCATTGGAGACAATTGGAATTCAAGAAAAGATGGACACCAGATAATAGGCGAGAAACTGGAGAAATGAAGTGAAATCGGGGTTAAGATTTGGATGGGGGATACCGAATGAAATGATGGGGTGTGGATATTTTGTTTTTGCAGGGGTGAAACTAGCTTTGTTTGCTCTGCACGCCCAGTGCCCACTTGGGTTAAGGTTACTAGATAATGCATGGGGTGTGAGAATAGCTCAACAAACGAGTATGAGATTTTGGGAGGCGGGTTATGATGGAGAGAGATACTTTCATTGAATCGTTGGGCAAAGTTGTGACAGATGCAATGTATGTACCTAGGTAATTGTTGCAATCTGAACAATCTTCTGTTGATGATAGCTAGGTACCTAGTCTTCTGCAACCGTAATTACAACGATGTTCGCCGCGCGCGTCTTCCTTTCTTCCTTCTATCGCGCGACTATCGGAACAGTCCACAAATAGGAAGGACATGCATTCATTCATTCATTCGTTCATTTACCCCTGAGATTATATACACAATTCCTATACTCTACAATCCATGCTTGTATTATCAAATACAACCTCGACAACACAAATGTATCATAATTAGACGTTGCCGCATTGCAAACTCAAAATTACGCCGAATAATGAAGCCGTCAAACACGGGATGACAATGCACCCCAACATACTTTGTGCGATAACTACTCCGTATCACAACAATTCTGGAGTCTCCATCCTCACGCCGCCGCATATACTTTTCATTTGCTCGATGACATAATATCCAATCCCCAGAGGATGCAAAGCAGGGATAAATCCATCCGAAAGTTGCACTCAATTCATGCTTTTATACTCTCGCTTCCATGAAAGAGTTTCCATTTGTTCCATTTCTTCCATCACTAATGCTTAAATAGGCCAAGTGAGCTTATCATGGCCAAGCTGAAACAAACTTCAAAGTCTGAGAGTTCCACAAATACACCGAACGGCCAATTTCTATAACCTCCTCAACATCCGAAGACATACCATACCGTCCAAGGTATACCCCATGTTTGCTGATTTGCTGGGGCCTGCACAACCAACACCTTTCGTACGCGTTGCACTGAGCTTGACCACTCGGCACTCCGTATTCCCGCATTATAAGGTTCGGATCTCGCTGTACCTACAGAGTGACGTGATAATCGCTGCCCGAATAGTAAATCCGGGGGGGGATACCAAGGTATTATGGGGTGTAATCTTGGTCACGTTGTTGGGAGAGGGATGATCTTGGTTCCTGCTTGGAATCCTGATTAATGTTCCTGCTTGAATCTTTCAGATCTGCGAGTCATTGGTATTCGCCCTCTCCACACTTGTTGTACTGTTTGTTGGTTGGTGTTAGTTATATAAAGGTTGATTATTCCCCTTGTTGGTATAGGAATTTTTTTTCATTCTCTCATTATCAGATGATATTTTGTATTACTGTGTTTGAATCCTTCTTGTATTGCATGTAAATTTATATTCGCACGGATCTTCGCAAAAAATATGGCTCCCTGGTTTGGTATGAGGGGAGGATGGCTCACATTCTGGGTCACGGTTGCTTGTGCAACTGATATGACTTTGTTCGGTTATGATCAAGGTGTTTTCGGTATGTACTATGTCTAATTATCTTCTCCCTTCGTTATGATCTTTCCTAACCGAGTCCAGGTGGTGTTATCGTCACTGAGGATTTCCTCAACACTCTCAATCTCAATGGCAAAACCGCTTTAGTTGGAACGATTACTGCTCTTTACGATATTGGTTGTTTCGTAGGAGCCATCGCAGCCGTCGCCTTTGGTGAAAAACTCGGTCGTAAAAAGTCCATTCTATGGGGAACAACCATTATGACCATTGGCGCCATTCTTCAAATCGCAGCCTACGATGTCCCCACGATGATCACGGGAAGAATTATAGCTGGTATCGGTAATGGTATGAATACATCCACGGCACCCGTTTGGCAATCCGAGACTTCGAAAGCTAGTCTTCGAGGCAAACTCGTCGTTATCGAAATGATTCTCAATATCGCTGGTTTCTCTCTTAGTAATTGGGTTACATATGGATTTTCTTTCCTTTCCGGCCCAGTCACTTGGAGATTCCCACTCGCCTTCCAATTGATCTTCATCATAATCTTATATGCCACTGTCCCTTGGCTTCCCGAATCTCCTCGTTGGCTAATCGCACACGGAAAGATCGATGAAGGTCGTCAAATCATTGCTGATCTTGAAGATCTCGATATCAAAGACGATCGTGTGAGCAATGATGTAAATGATATCATTTACGCCGTTGAATACGAAGAAGCGCATGGAGTCTCTTGGTTTGATCTCCTCCGCGGTCGAACTGGAGAAGCCGGAACCTCTACTATACGTCGTCTCGTCCTAGGTTGTGGAACTCAGGCCATGCAACAACTTAGTGGTATCAACGTAACATCCTACTATCTCCCCACCGTCTTGATCTCCTCCGTCGGTCTCTCAAACACACTCGCAAGACTTCTCGCCGCTTGCAATAGTGTATCTTACCTTGCCGCTTCGCTGCTCGCCATCCCGAATGTAGAGCGATGGGGAAGAAGAAACCTCATGATTTATGCAGCCGCTGGTCAAGCCGTCTGTTACCTGCTCATTACCGTTCTACTTCGCTTCAACGAATTAGAAGGCTATGCTCATCAAAAGGAAGTCGCTTCTGCCTCTGTCGCATTTTTCTTCGTCTATTATCTTTTCTTCGGTTTCGGGTGGCAAGGTGTTCCTTGGCTCTATCCTACCGAGATTAATTCTCTCGCCATGCGTACTAAAGGTGCTGCACTTGGTACTGCCACGAATTGGATCTTCAACTTCATGGTAGTGGAAATTACACCCATTGGAATTGAGTCTCTAAGATGGAAATTCTACATTATATGGACGGCTTTCAATGCCTCGTTTGTACCAATTGTTTACTTCTTCTATCCCGAGACAAGTGATAGAACATTGGAGGATATTGATAGACTGTTCAGAGAAAATGGAAGTATATTGGTATACAAGGATCCAGATGCGATAGGCAGAAAGAGACCCGCTAGATATTTCGAGGCAGAGAGAATCGGCACAATTGAGTCAGATGAGAGAAGGAGTTTGGGTAGCAGTGCGGGCAAGAAAGCGAGTGATCTTGGAGGGGTATTGGCTGAACACGATGAGGAGGTTAGATATTAGGACATGGGTGAAGAAAAAGAATAGTGGTTCTTGTGAAAGGATGTTTGGATTGGAGTTTCTTGGTTGTTTGTTATGAACTTATGCATGCACGTATGAGTATGGGATGAACATGAGCATGAGCATAAGCGTGGAGTTTGGATGGATAAATACCTTGATGAGCATTTTTCGGTGGGACATTACTCACATCATAAACAATATTCACAAAATTAAAAGTAAAATCTTACACGCAGAAACCCTCATGTGCCAAGAATGAATACACAGCTGATGAGTCTCAATTTTCAGAAATTCGCAATATAAAAGTGGACTTGGTGATATGTTCCTTCACCGCAGAGAAGCTAAGCACGGATCCGAGTAGAAACGCCAGACACTTCGGGGATCCCGTACGTTACCTTCGGCATTTGTGTCAACCTGTGTTCCCTACCTATGTAGCAATCGCTTGCCAAGATTTGTTGCTTTATAGCTAGCTCCAGCCAGCGTGTAAATACGACCTACGGCATCTATCATTCTCGGCACCCACCATTCTCGGCACCCAAAAGACGATTTCGTGTCTTGAAATATCTGAAAATGTCGACGATATATCTTGACAACTTTGAGGTCTCTTGGCATGCTATATCAGTTTCTTGGAGTTGGGATGTCTGACAGAAACTCTGTTTAAACTTTGACTTTCAGAAGCAAAAATGAAAACTCAGTCGATACATATGGATCTGACTGATAGATATCCCTCAAATATGCACAAGCATGACACGTACCTCATCGAATTTTCAATAGATCGTCGTTGTCGCTCTGCTTCTCAAGCTTCTCAATCCACTACTCAAGATCAACGGCCCGATAGCTGCCCCCATCCCCTCAAAGCTGCATACTCAGCCCCTTCCTTTATCTTCACACCCCGCCCCCTCAAAGCTCCATACTCATCCCCGTCCTCTATCTTCACACCCCAACCCCTCAAAGCTGCATACTCAGCCCTTTCCTCTATCCCCACACTCCTCCTCTCAAACCACTGTCCTTAAAAATACACCATTCCACCTCCGTCTCATCTGACAACAAACCGGTCGACAGCAATTCCTACATCCACTCAACGTCTCACTTTTCTCTTTCGGGATGAACCAGCCCCCCTCATCCTCCATATCCACATACTCCCCATTCTGATCAAGAAATACCTCATCGGGTCCCGCAGTCCATGTCTGTTTTTCCTGTCCCTGTTCTTGTATCTTATCTAACCCATCTGTCCTTTCGATCCACAATTCCCTTTCCTTTTTCCTCTCCCACTTCTTCTCCCCTCTCCGCTCCTCCCCCAAACCCACAGCCAACTCCTCCCCTGTCCGCCCCCTCTTCATAAACACCGGAAAAAACAAAATTCCCTCCCCACCCTCATACAACCCCCCATCCCCAGAAAAACAATGCCATTC